TCCATCTTTTGTGTGCTCCAGAAACAGTTTATGGAAAGAAACACACATCCCATTATGACTTAGATGATGCACTCTTTTCTTACCTATCACGTAGCCCGACATAGACTCTGCCCATTTTCTTCTTCTCTTAGAAAAATCAGCTGAATTTGTCTTCAGTGATCAAAATAAAATACTACTTAATCAAACTTAGGTTTATCTCCTTCCCACAGCTCCTGAGCTTTGAGCTACCCTCAGTCTGAGCCAACATACAACCCCATTATATGCTCCTCCTAAGAACATGCTAAACATTCTCCGACTTAGAATCTGATTTTTTCACCCTCCATTTGCCATTCCCCTCCCACTTTGTTTCTAATCTTGGTTGCTCCTTTCTATGAAGAAAAGCCACCCTTGTCTGCCTAACCTTTGAGATCTTTAAAGATCTTATAGTTGGTACTTTCTCCTGTTGCAATACTCCTTTGGAACTTAATTTTTTAATACAAATCTAACTTTGTTTTAGAAACTGCCTCAAAGCAAAAACAACTTTATCTTTAGTAAAGATCCTTTCGGTCCTGTTCCATCTTAATCTTAACTGCACCTGTCTGTGGGTCCCCAGCTTTCCAGGGCTCTGTAGCTTCTCTCCAGATAAAAGGCTTCTTCCATGGCTGGAGTGAACAGGCTAGGAAATCTGCAGGGGAGGCTCCCCAGGAAGAACTAACTGGGCCTTTAATAACCTCCTTTTGCAGGCTCAATATGAGCCTTTAGCTTGGAGTCACTGGGCTCAAGTTTTAATTTTCAAGTAAGAGTTATTCACTCAGGTTTTGAAACCAAGTGTTTGAAAAATCCAGTAAAATTACTCAAACACAGTGCTCATACAAAAGAAAAAAAACTTAAGGTGCTTACATTTTATACCTCAACAAGAAAAGCAAAAGAATCTATTTCTTTCAGACAATAAATGTACTACTTTATTATCTCCATTATGAATCATGTAGTAAACAATTAGTCATATGGGGACACTTCTAGGAGGTACCTACCAAGTTTTATCTTATAAAATTTAGCATTGGCCAGGCGCGGTAGATCACACCTGTAATCCCAGCACTTTGGGAGGCCGAAGTGGGCAGATCACAAGATCAGGAGTTCAATAACAAACAGCCTGGCCAACCTGCTGAAGCCCCCGTCCCTACTAAAAATACAAAAATTAGCTGAGAGTGGTGGCGTGCACCTGTATTCCCAGGTATGCTGGAGGCTGAGGAAGAATTGCTTAAACCCAGGAGTCGGAGGTTGCTGTGAGCCAAGATCGCGCCATTGCACTCCAGCCTGGGCGACAGAGCAAGACTCTGTCTCAGAGGAAAAAAAAAATTAGCATTAAACTCATACATCAAGATTACAAGATATAGAACAGAGATATTCACTCACAGAAACTTACCCTGCAATAAGAGGAACTGATGTTTTTATGAATCTATGTAACTCAGCAATTATCCACCACATTTCTTGTGAAATGTGAATGAATACACATTTTCTTGTGTATTCATTTTCTACAGCCAAAATGGAAGAGAGATTTTCCTTATTCTTTCCCTTGATAGCTCTCTAAAAGCTAACCCTTGAAATTCTGTTTGAAAACACCCAGGCATAAAAACACACCTGAGTGACTCACCCCTATAATCCCAGCACTTTGGGAGGCCGAAGTGGGCGGATTACCTGAGGTCAGGAGTTCAAGATCAGCCTGGCCAACATGGTGAAACACCATCTCTACTAAAAATACAAAAATTAGCCGGGCATGGTGGCGTGCACCTGTAATCCCAGCTACTCAGGAGGCTGAGGCAGGATAATCGCTTGAACCTGACAGTCAGAGGCTGCAGTGAGCTAAGATCATGCTACCGTAGTCCAGCATGGGCAACAAAACGAGACTCTGTTTCAAAAAATAAAAAACACACCTGAAAAAATTTCTAAACTCACACTGGGGGAAAAAAAAATGAGAATTTTTAACAATGGAATATATGATTAGATATTTTTTGAAACCCGCCTATTTTATGTTTTTGTACATATTTTCTTACCTTTCAAGCTCTACTAATAAACTACAATTTACAGTTTAAAAGAGTCAATATAAGTGAATAGATCTTTTCAAGGAGACAAAACAAAGGAGTGGCAGTGCTGATTAGAAAACCAATGTGTCTGACTCATATGTCAAGTCAGACCATCCAATTCCTGGAGAGATTCTCCCACTCCATCCTGCTCACTTAAGTGTCCAGTGACCACCCTCTCAGGAGACACTGCATTACGCCCCAATGAGTGCCCCAAATGCATTTTACTTGGCAAGTTCTTGTACTATCTCACTGAGGTCAGGTTTTTTTCTGTCTTTGGGGATACGATTTTTTTTCACAAATCTTAGAGAATCCGGGTGGCCGAAATTATTTCTGTTTTCCCCTCAATACCAGCATCTTATCGCTGACCAGCAATGTGTCTCCAAGAAATGAAAGCTGGCTTGGATAAAAATAATCTTGGCCGGGCGCGGTGGCTCAAGCCTGTAATCCCAGCACTTTGGGAGGCCGAGACGGGTGGATCACGAGGTCTCAAAAAAAAAAAAAAAAAAAAAAAAAAAAAAATCTTAATGTCTTAAAGGGTTAGCTTTTCAAAGGAAGAATACACCAGCAGATTCCTCTAAGCCCCAGGGCATTCACCGGCTTCCTTGAGGCTACACTCCATACCTCAGCTTGTTCTGTAAGAGAAAATGACCCAAGAGCTAATATTAACTCTAGCAGACAGACACGGTGGGTATTTTGGTTTATTCAGACAGTACAGGACCAGGAAAAAACTAAAGGGTGGCTGAGGACACATCACCCCATAAAGTTTCCAAAAACCATTGACCCCTAAAACATGATCTCTGCGCTCAGGAAGATAAAAGGAAAAGAGGCACAGATTTTTTACGATACAGTGTCAGGAGATTACTCTTTGCTTTCTTCTCATGGAAAATATTTAAAAACAGAAAATAAATTTTTAAAATGTTTTCAATGTGTTGTCGGTAAATAATTAAAATACAGTATGAAAAACGTACACTAAAGGACAAATAGTTCATAATGTGAATTAGGGAGAGAAAGTTGACAGCTCCTTGAAGTAAAACACTAAATTTTCAGTTCTTGAGATTGTCAGAACCGGAAATTTACTATGCGTTTTTATTTCAAGCCAGAGTTAGGCTGGAGGTAAGGAGAACTGGGGGATACACGGGAGACTCTGCTTGGAACACTTGTAAAAAATGTAGGGGAAAATCAGTCCTCTGTGGAGTATGAAAATAGTTAAGTGGCAGGCAATTTAGTCTGAGGTGGAAATCTAGGCCCTGGATTCCTGCTTTGAAAAAAATCTAACTCAAATGCATTTTTTTTTTTTTTTGGTAAATTACTACATTAGAGGAAACAAAATTCAGGCTTAACTAACTACAAACTGTCAATTAAGCTCCAATTACATAACCAGGAAATTAGTACCCTCAAGGTGAAAATTAAGAAACTAAGATACTAAGGCGGGGAGCGCTGGCTCACGCCTGTAATCCTACCACTTAAGGAGGCCGAGGCCGGTGGATCGCCTGAGGTCAGGAGGCTGAGACCAGCCTGTCCAACATAGAGAAATTCCGTCTCTACTAAAAATATAAAAATCAGCTGAGCGTGGTGGCAGAAGCCTATAATCCCAGCTACTCGGGAAGCTGAGGCAGGAGAATCGCTTGAACCTGGGAGGCGAAGGTTGCAGATCCTACCACTGCACTCCAGCTTGGGCGTCAGTGCAGGACTCCGTAAAAAAACAAACAAACCAAAAAAAACACTAAAAAGAAGAGGAGAGAAACAAAGACAGGAAGACAGAAAAAACATAACTGTACCTAACCAATTATTGAATTTGGGATTTTTGCATCATGCACCTTATAAAAGTCTTTCAAGGCCCTCTTATGAACCAAAAACTACAACCCACAGGGGTGATCTAAAATTTTTGAACCACTCTTTGATGAAATTATTTAATATTTTTGCGGAGACTGCCATTTTTTTTGTTTTGTTTACGTTTTTTTGAGACAGAGTCTTACTCTGTCGCCCAGGCTGGAGTGTAGTGGGGAGATCTTGGCTCACTGCAACCTCCTCCCGGGTCCAAGCGATTCTCTCGCCTCAGCCTCCCAACTAGCTGGGATTATAGGCATGCGCCACTATGCTTGGCTTTTTTTTTTTTTTTTTTTGAGATGGAGTCTTGCTCTGTCACCCACGTTGGAGGGCAAATGGCGCGATCTCGGCTCACTGCAACCTCCGCCTCCCGGGTTCAAGCGATTTTCCTGCGTCAGCCTCCTGAGTAGCTGGGATTACAGGACCGCGCCACCACGCCAGGCTAAGTTTTTGTATTTCTAGTAGAAACGGGGTTTTACCATGTTGGTCAGGCTGATCTTGAACTCCTGACCTCGTGATCTGCGTGCCACAGTATCCCAAAGTGCTAGGATTATAGGTGTGGGCCACTGCGCCAGGCTAATTTTTGTATTTTTAGTATAGACGGGGTTTCGCCATGTTGGCCAGGCTGGTCTCGAACTCCTGACCTCTGGCGATCCGCCAGCCTCGTACTCTCGAAGTGCTGCGATTACAGTCGTGAACCAACGCGCCCTGCCTGCCATAAATTTTTAATAGGGGGAAAGAGGAACTGGAAACGCAGCGGACTAAAGCTCTTCCCATTCACGAACCCGCACGCCGAGTCAGGATTCTCCCGACTACCCTCCCGTGGTCCCTGCACAATCCGGGAGAGACGCGGCGCTGCGGGTGCAGAGCTACCCAGAGGGCTCCAGGTCAGGGCACAGTCACTGCACAGGGAACAGACAAGAGGCCCGGGGGCCCGGCCATCAGCGCTGCCGCCATCTTATGGCTGAAGGGGACTGAGGCCGAACTGGGCAAGAACTCGGGGCGCAGTTTGCGGAGACGACTGAGGGGAGGCCCGAGTCCGCCACAGCCACTTCCCACCGGTTCCAACCAGCCCCTCCCTCTCTCTCCGGATGTCGGAGCCGCCACTCTCACCATTTCTAGGCTTCCAGGGGGACCCTGGCGTCTTAGCTGTAGATCTCCCAATACTTGCAGGTCACAGGGCCACAGAGGCTGGGCCTCTAGGAGCAGGGAGACTCAGAGCAGGGAAGACGAGACCAAGAGCTCCAGCTGCAGCGAGAGACAAAGGCCCCGCCAAATCCCGGAAGCCGCCCTGTCCGCTCCAGCTGCGTGCCTGATTGGACAGTCCCCAGCTCAGCGTCCCTGATTGGAAACCGTCTAAGGCCCGGCCGCTTCAGGCCTTGAGTGACAGAAGACTTGGCCAAATGCTGGACTGAATGAAGTAAGAGTGACAGCCTAAGCTGCAGCCTTTTCAGGCAGGCCTTCCTCCCTGAGCCGAGCCAGGCCCACCCCGGAGGGTATTTGCATTTAACCTCGTGTATAAGGTTTCATGTATTTATAAATAATATACTATATGGCTATTCACAAAGGAAAAATATATAACAATAATTTTAAAATTTCAGTTTTGATGATCTTCCTGGCTTCTGGCATTTGAGCAAGCAGCCTGAGATTTTTTTAAAAAGGCAACCCCTCTGAAATAAAATATAAGCCACATGTGAATTTTAAACTTTCTAGTAGCCAACTTTAAAAAGAAACAAGAAAAAGGTGTTGATGTAACAATTTAATTTACCCAATATATCCAAAATATTATCAGTTTGTGAGCAATAATGAAATATATATAAAGTTTATATATATAATATAAAGTTATATATATATATAAACTAAATCTTTGAAACTAACTCTGTATTTTACCTTTCTAGCACATTGCAGTTTAGACCAGCGACATTCCACGCACCCAGTAGCCACACGTGGCCAATAGCTGCCATATTGAAGTGCAGCTGAGATGTCAGCTGAATGAAGGGCCTGCACATCAGAGGTGGGGGAAAGCCTCTTCCTACCAACATCTCTCCTCAGTTCCCAGGTTGGAACAGATAGTGGTCATAAAAAAAAGCAGAAAGCAGCAAGAATAAGATAACCACACACAGACCACTGCTGGCCACCTGTTGCCCACCTTCCTTCCAGAGATTAGACAGTGAACAAAAACTGATGGGGTGACAGGAGAAAAAACTCTGTCTTCATATCTTTCCACAGTCTTTTTTGAGACAGTTTCGCTCTTTTTGCCCAGGCTGGAGTGCAATGGCGCGATCTGGGCTCACCACAACCTCCACCCTGGGGGTTCAAGTGATTCTCCTACCTCAGCCTCCTAAGTAGCTGGGATTACAGGCATGCACCACCACGCCCAGCTAATCTTTTGTATTTTTAGTAGAGATGGGGTTTCTCCATGTTGGTCAAGCTGGTCTCAGACTCCCGACCTCAGGTGATCTGCCCACCCCCGCCTCCCAAAGTGCTGGAATTACAGACGTGAGCTACCGTGCTCGTCCAGGATGGAGTGCAGTGGCACGATCTGGGCTCACTGCAACTTCCACCTCCTGGGTTCAAGCAATTCCCTGCCTCAGTCTCCTGAGTAGCTAAGATTATAGGCACCCACCACTACGCCCAGCTAGTTTTTGTATTTTTAGTAGAGAGTTTCACCATCTTGGCCAGGCTAGTCTTGAACTCCTGACCTCGTGATCCGCCCACCTCGGCCTCCGAAAGTGCTGGGATTACAGGCATGAGCCCAGCCCTGTCCACAGTCTTGACCTCCTCTGTTTATATATGAAGAAAACAGATTAAAGGCAAACTAATTTTGCTATTTGATCTTGGCCCTAATGGTCAGGCTGTAGTTACCTGTTTTCTTTTGTGGTGTTGGGGGGGTCTGTGAGAGTATAAGGACAAATCACATGCATAAATGTCTATATGTATTTCTGCATTACTCAGCATTATCTTACAAGGCATCCAACTTTATTTTTATTTATTTATTTTATTTTATTTTATTTTATTTATTTTTTGAGACGGAGTCTCGCTCTGTCCTCCAGGCTGGAGTGCAGTGGCGCGATCTCGGCTCACTGCAAGCTCCGCCTCCCGGGTTCACGCCATTCTCCTGCCTCAGCCTCCGGAGTAGCTGGGACTACAGGCGCCCACAACCGCGCCCGGCTAATTTTTTGTATTTTTAGTAGAGACGGGGTTTCACCGTGGTCTCGATCTCCTGACCTTGTGATCCGCCCGTCTCGGCCTCCCAAAGTGCTGGGATTACAGGCGTGAGCCACCGCGCCCGGCCATTTTTATTTATTTTTGAGACGGAGTCTCACTCTGTCGCCCAGGCTGGAGTGCAGCAGCGCAATGCGATCTTGGCTCACTGCGACCTCCACCTCCCGAGTTCAAGCTATTCTCCTGCTTCTGTCTCCCCAGTAGCTGGGATTACAGGCGCGTGCCACCCCGTCCAGCTAATTTTTTTGTATTTTTAGTAAAGACGGTGCTTCACCGTGTTAACCAGGATGGTCCCCTTCTCCTGACCTCGTGATCCGCCTACCTCGGCCTCCCAAAGTGAACCACCGCGCCGGGCCAAGACATCCAACTTTAAATCAGAAATAAAAAATTAGAGGCTGGGCACGGTGGTTCATGCCTGTAATCCCAGCACTTTGGGAGGCTGAGACGGGTGGATCACGAGGTCAGGAGATCGAGACCATCCTGGCTAACACGGTGAAACCCCCTCTCTACTAAAAATACAAAAAATTAGGCGGGCGTGGTGGCGGGTGCCTGTAGTCCCAGCTAATCGGGAGGCTGAGGCAGGAGAATGGCGTGAACCCGGGAGGCGGAGCTTGCAGTGAGCCCAGATGGCACCACTGCACTCCAGCCTGGGCGAGAGTGCGAGATTCCGTCTCAAAAACAAAAAAAAAAGTTTATGTGACTTACGTATAATCTTTAACAAATAAGGCAACTTTAAAATTATTGGTAAAATAGTATCAGCAATGTCTTAAATATTGTTAGCATTTCGTTAACTTTTTTTGAGATGGAGTCTCACTCTGTTGCTCAGGCTGGAGTGCAGTGGCGTGATCTGGGCTCATTGCAACCTCTGCCTCAGCCTCCCGAGTAGCTGGGATTACACGCACCTGCCACCACGCCTGGCTAATTTTTGTATTTTTAGTAGAGACGGGGTTTCACCATGTTGGCCAGGCTGGTCTTGAACTCCTGACCTTGTGATCCACCTGCCCCAGCCCCTCAAAGTGCTGAGATTACAGCTGTGAGCCACCGGGCCCAGCAACAATTTTTTAATCAAGGGGGTTTTGGCCCGGTGCAGTGGCTCATGCCTATAATCTCAGCACTTTGGGAGGCCAAGGCGGGTGGATCACTTGAGGTCAGCAGTTCGAAACCAGGCTTGACAACATGGTGAAACCCTGTCTCTACTAAAAATACCAAAAGTTGGCCAGGTATGGTGGTGCATGCCTGTAATCCCAGCTACTCAGGAAGCTGAGGGAGGAGAACAGCTTTAACCCAGGAAGCAGAGTTTGCAGTGAGCCGAGATTGCACCACTGTACTCTATCCTGGGTGACAGAGTGAGAGTCCATCTCAAAAAAAAAAAAAAAAAAAAGTGGTTTTATGATTATTCCTGCAAGAATACTCTAATATTTGCCCTAAGGGTTATAAATGATAAAACCCAGCACAAGACAGAATAATCTTGGCTTGCGTAAGCTTGTAAAATATTGTTGGCTTGATGAAAACAGCTAAATTGCTAAATTGTGCACTTTTGGTATAAACCTAAAATTAACCTTAATTTTTTTTTTTGAGAATGGTATGAGGTTACAGATTGGTTTAAGAGTGTGCCCTTTCTTAATGATATGCATGGAAAGGCAGAAAGCAATTTCAGGATACCAAAAAAACTTCCCCTAACTGGTACTTAACTAGTGAGGCTGGGGTGGAAGAGCTTTTCATTGATATGCCCCTTTAACAATTCACTTAGTTGAATCAAATAAGGTACTCTTTTTACTTTTACAAAGCCCAGATTGCTTCTCTACCATTCAAGGAGGTAAGAAGTGTTTTTTTGTTTTGAGATGGAGTTTTGCTCTGTCACCCAGGTTGGAGTGCAGTGGCTTGATCTCGCCTTACTGCAGCCTCCGCCTCCCGGGATTCTCCTGCCTTAGCCTCCCAAGTAGCTGGGATTACATGCGCTCACCTCCACACCCAGCTAATTTGTGTATTTTTAGTAGGGATGGGGTTTCACCGTTTGGGCTGGGCTGGTCTTGAACTCTTGACCTTAGGTGATCCGCCTCCCAAAGTGCTGGGATTACAGGCAGGAGCCACCATGCCCCGCCAGCTGAGAGTTTTAATGCTCTGTTACACAATTGGTTTCTCTGGCAATCAACCCTGGTCCTGAGGCTGTCCAGAAGCCTCCAGCCAGAAGTCATCTCATTAACATACAAAAGATGCTTCTCTTTTCAGACATTCCAAAGATTTTAGCTGCATATGAAGAAACTGAGACACATTCTAGATTTTAGGGGCTGCAAATAAACTGAGACAAACTCTAAGTACTCACATTGATAAGAGCATCCAGACCTGGCTCAGCTCTAGCCCTCTCTGGAAAGCTTTGCTTTACCCACCTCCTTTTAATTACAATCTACCCCCCAATAACCCTGTGGAATTCTTTATAGCAGCAGCACGTTCGGGCATTTCACATCTTTGATATAATCTTGGTGTTTGTTGTTTACTTCCTTATAGTTTTGTTCCGGGGAGCTATGTCTTGTTTACCACTATATTCCCAGTGCCAATCACAGTGCTCAGCCCATGGCAGGTGATCAATGAATAGTTGTCTAATCAAGGCACAACAGCACTGTCTGTAAAAGGGAAGCAGGAAGGATTAGGTCAGAGCACACTTTAGCTCAGCCACTTCCTACCTGGCTGACTTTGGGCAAGTTCCTAAATTTTTTCTTCTTTCAGTTACCTTGTCTGTGACACGAGGAATCATTAAACTTACCTACAGTTTTTGCTGATGAAGATTTAATGAGCAAAAATATCTAAACAGCTTTGAAACACTGGTTGGCACAGCAAGCGTGCTCCATACATCAGCTGTGTCAATGACGAGTTAAACTCTTTAAAATATTTGAAGAAATTTATTCAGAGTCAAATATGAGTGACCATGCCCCATAACACGGCCCTCAGAAGGTCCTGAGGACATGTGGCAAAGGTGTTCTTCAAAATGTTCATTACTAAGGCATCCATCTCCCATTACTTCAATGCACTTTGCTAAACAATGCATTATTTCCGAGAAGACGTCTGAATCTGTTTCTGTACCAATGGTCTTAATTAGAACATCACATAAATTGCCACATCTGTGTGAGATACTCAGGACTACAGACTCTCGCACACTCCAAGAGAAAAGGCATGGATTCTGCTGCTGCCCCTCCAACGCCATCGTGGAAATAAAATTTCAGTAAAGGAACTATCAGTTTGACAACCTGCTTGGTGTACTCCACAAAGCACAGTTAAATCAGCTATGTGCTGCAAAAGGTCACAATCTTTTTTTTTTGAGATGGAGTCTCGCTCTGTCACCCAGGCTGGAGTGCAGTGGTGCCATCTCGGCTCACTGCAATCTCCACCTCCCTGGTTCAAGCGATTCTCCTGCCTCAGCCTCCTGTGTAGCTAGAACTACAGGTGCCTGCCGCCACGCCCAGCTAATTTTTGTGTTTTAAGTAAGACAGGGTTTCACCATGTTGGCCAGGCTGGTCTTGAACTCCTGACCTCAGGTATCCACTCACCTCGGCCTCCCAAAGTGCTGTGATTACAGGCATGAGTCACTGCGCCTGGCCGAGGTCACAATTTTTCCTGTGTGCACAGACCAGGTAACAGAAGAAAATCATATCACCTGTGTGATTGGTGCAAAGACAATGTCCTCAGATGCCAGGACCCAGGCATAAAAGTTACATCACCTGGATGTTGGACCCAGCAATATGTCACAGTGGCCCAAGTAGGCAAAACAGAGACAGAAGAGTCACATAATGTCAGTGCAGGGCCCAGCAATGTCACAAAGTCTCCTGCAGGCAAAACCTAAAAGAAGAGAAAAGTGCTGGGCATAGCAATATGCTACAATGTTCCTGTAAGCAGGGACCAGGCAGAAGAGAGTCACATCACCTAGATGCTGGGCCTAGTGATATGTCAACCATCTTTTCTGTAATAAAGATCCAGGCAGGAGAAACACATTACCTGGTTGCTGGCCACAGAAATGTGCCACAATTTTCACTGTCGGCAGGGTGCAGGCAGAAGAGGAGAGTCACATCTCCTAGGTAATAACTGTGACATACCTGTGCAGAGGT